CTTTGGATCCTATATTTATGTTTATATTTACATTTATATTTATAGTTTAAAAGCAGCCTTAATTAAGCTTTTCCTATTCTTCTTTACTTATTATAGTTGGAATTTACTGTATGTGTTAAATACTGAACCTAGGTGTTTCTCTTGTTGTTAAGTCCTGTCGAATTGTCTCCTACTCACAGAGATTCTGTATAGGGTTTCCAAGAAGCAGCTGGTGGGTTAGAACCACTGACCTTACGGTTAGCAGACCAGTGCTTATCCTACAGCACCACATCAGGACTCAGAACATATGTGTTTGCAAATACATAATTGAAACCCGTAAAAAGTAGATTTTAATGATATATGTTATTATATATGAACAAAAAAAGAGAAAAGCAATTTAGTCTGAAACCACTGCTTTTTAAAATTAATTTTTGGAAGTAGGGATAAATCCTGAAAATAATAATTGCATCATATAAAGGAATAGACTGGGCTGCACCTGACAATAACCAACAAATATAATGGACAAGAATGACTTATAAGAGTATGAATAACATAGTAACAAAAGTAGTGGGTTTGTGTACATTGAAAGAAGAAATGGGTATAAGGAACCAATTGGAGGGATTTAAGGACAACAGTGATGAAAATTAACAACAGAAGATTCTGAAGAAAAAAATGTTAGAGTTATTTTCTTAAATAACTTAAATGTCTTAAATATCTTCTTAGAAACAGAGGGAGATTATAAGGCCAACAACACAGATTTGATACATGTGTCTTCCAGGAATAAACAGGAAAGTTTCTTTTTTAGAAAAATGAAAAACACAAAATGTATTCTCTGAGATTTGTAGTCAAAGTTCTATACAATTGTCGTGTTAGAAGTTTTCATTTTGAAGGGAATCATTAAAATGCAATCATCAACAAGCACAAAAAACTTAAATAGGAAAAACCGTAACAGTTACTTCTACAGCACGAAAGCAATTCACAACATTTCTAAAAAGCGGATTTTTACTTACAATTGGCATTGGTCCCCTTTTATCCCTTTCGTTGTGCAGAAACATTTTCCTGTGTGCATGTGACAAATATTTGCATGGCCACTGCATGTACAAGCTGTATAAGTCAAAACCAAAATGATAATGAATACACTGGACCACAAACACATCACATCTCAGGTAGTACTACTCTTAGGGAATAGCATCACTATTGCATTTATACCATGTTATATCCTTTTGCCATACAAAAACTAAAGTAACTATAATTTAATAAATTAAGTTTGGGGTTTTTAATTAAAGGAAGTTAAAATTGCCTACTTGAAAATGTTGTGAAACTCCTTAAAGTCTTCATGAATATCCCAAAGTCTGCTATGGATCTAAGTACTCATCTAATTCTTTCTGGGTGTCTTCTGTTTCTAATTTGGTTGAGGCACTGTGAGATGAGCTAACCACAAAGTCATTAGTTCAACCTGATGGTGGTGGTGGTGGTGGTGGTGGGCCACAGACTCAGTTTGGACCCATCGTGACTCTGCATTGTCTCCAGGGTTGTAAAGTTTTATAGGAGCAGAAAGCCTCATCTATCTCTTAATGAAGAGACTGGTAGGTTCAAACTGCTGACCTTGCAGTTAGCAACCCCGCTCTTACTCCACTAAGCTACCAGTTGAGAAAGATGATGTTTGCTGCTCCCATAAAGATTTACAGCCTCAAAAACCCTATGTTATTGCTGTTAAGTGCCTTTGATGTAGTTCAGACTCATAGGGACCCTGTACAGGATTCCAGAGAGGCAACTAGTGGGTCTGAACTGTCAACCTTGTGGTTCACAGTCCAGTGTTGATCCTACAGTTCCAGGAATCCTATACAGGATCCAATTTATCCAATTTATCAAGTCCAAAGTTATCAATACTTACTCTGACGTTTTCTTTTTTAATAGTTTAAAGTTTCTTTTTTTAAGTTTCACTCCATAATTTGTTTTGAGCATTTGTATATGGTATGAGGTAGGGGTGTGATTCCATTATTTGCATGTGAATATCCAGTTATCTGAGTCAGAACAGACATAATAGCACTTAACAACAACAACAACAGCATTTATTGAAAAGGCTATTCAGTCACATTTACTTATCTTGGCATTCTTGCTGAAAATCTAAGGATTTATTTTTGAGCTCTCATTTCTATTCCATATTATATTTGTATGTGTAAAATCGTATGAAGGAGCTCTGGTAGCTAGTGGTTACGAATCGGGCTGTGAACCACAAGGTCAGCAATTCGAAACTACCAGCTGTTCCATGGGAGAAAGTTGAGGCTTTCTGCTCCCGTAAAGATTTACAGCCTCGGAAACCCTGTACAGGGTCGCTATGAGTCCGAACCGACTCCACGGCACATAACAACAACAACAAATAATCGTATGAGTGCTGGTACCACAATGTGTTTATGACTGCAGTTACGGTGAGTGAGGATTCAAATTGGGATGTGTGAGACCCACAAATGTGTTCTTCTTTTAACGTCTGTTTTGAAATTCTGAGTCCCTTTCTCAACTCCATATGAATTTAAAAGTTAACTTGGCAATTTCTACAAAAAAGCCAACTGGAATACCAACAGGACTGTGCTGAATCTGTATATCAATTTAAGGAGTATAGTCCTACCTTAAACTATTTCTACTAATGAATATCATATGACTTTCTATTTATTCAGAATTTTAAAATTTACTTCAGCAATGTTTTTGTTTTCAGGGTACAGGTCTTGCACTTCTTGTGCTATACTGTTTCCTAAGAATTATCTTCTTTTTAATGTTAGTTTAATTGCAATTGTTTTCTTAATTTCATTTTTCAGATTCACCACTGTTATTACACAGAAATACAACAGACTTTGTATGTTGAGCTTGAATCCTGTGGTCTTTCTGAAATTATTTGTATGTTCTTAGATATATTTTAATGGCTTTTAAAGGGTTTTCTATATATCAGATCATGTCATCTAAAAATTTCAATGCTCTGTTTGTCCCTTATTTCTTTTCCTTGACTGACTGTCTTGGCTAGACTCTTCATACCACAATGAGAATCAGTGGCAAGAGTTGACATCCCTACCCAGTTCCTGTAGAATGACGCCCTTTATTAAGCTGGGGATGTACTCTCTGTCATCTAGGTTAGTCTGAAGATCTAATTCCCAAAAACTAACCACTGAAAACCCTATGTACTAATTATACTTTGACCTCCATGAGGTCACCCTGAGTCAGAATGAACTCCACAGGAACTGGTTAGTTGTTGTTGTTGTTTTTGAGAGAAAAAGTCTATCAGTGGATGACTACAGTTGGTGATGGCCCAGAGGATATGCTGGGGATAGAGAAAATAAGTGGGGTGATTATTAATGGATACTTTGGGAAGGTGATGAATTTATCTAAAATTATATTGTGATAATACCATAATTCTGTGAATAAATTGAAAATAATCCATAAAATACCTGATATCTGAATAAGGATTTTTTAAAAATATTAATTAAAAAAAATATATATGACATATTTTAGAACACCAGTTTCTTGCTAATGGCACACACACACACATATAAAGTAAACTTAGGTACCACATAGATATCCAAGTATATTTTTTTCAATAAAAGATTTCTACATAACTTTGTAAGTTTTGCTTCATAAAGAACATTTTTTAAAAATATACATATGTGTTCTTTAAGCTTTTAGAAGCTAACTACAATAATTCATAATGTGAGAATGACAGAAACGTAATACAAGGTGCAGAGCTACAAAGAATAAAAGAAACTATCAATGAACAATAAAGAGACACCAGACATATTGGTAATATATGACTTCATAAATAGTGAATGACTACATCATGACATCTTTTAATATTAAACTGCACAGTTTCATATTACTACTGACTTTTAAAAAGAACTTCACTAAAAAAATGATGTCGATTAATATTTAAAAACTTGGATTTACCCTTTATGACAGAAATGGATAATAGTTACGCTTACAGCGTTTCTTAAAAGAATTATCATTGCATACAGCAACTTGAATAATTTCTCAGGATACAAAAATTGTATTAAGATACTTTTAATGTGAGCTCATTTTGAGAAAATTCCCTGGTGGAGCTGTACTCCAGGGTAAAATGACACAAACGCATTTTAAATTCAATTGTTTAAAATTTATACTTCATGACAGTGTGGAAGATATTCTGTTGTCAGCATTTGAGGCTACCTTTTTCTGCTGAATAAGCACCGATAAAATCATTACACAAGAGCCTTTTGTTTGGGAAATTCTGTATGATGATGATTTTATACCTAGATATACACAAGAGAGAGAGATAATGTGCTCACACATGATATTTCTATATCCCTGTGATATATAAGTTACAATATCAACTGATAAGCAAAATGAAATAATAAAGATAGAAAAAAGATGCTGTAAAGGTTATTCAAACAAATTATTTATAAAGAGTATCCTTTCATTTTTTCTAACATGGAACCAAAAGGTAGTACTTGGTAGTACCTTTCTCAAAGACATATTTATGTTCCTATGTCCTTTCATTTCTACATCATTGCTGTTGGTAGTATGCATATGATGACAACTTCTGGAGGTTAGGAAACAAGCTTCCTTTGTATGTTTCATAGATATGTAAGCATAATTATACTTAATAATATTTACTAGGTATACTATAGTCATATTTTTCAAATACATTAAGAATTCTGACAAGGAGAAAAGTTCAAACCGCCACATCATTTTAAATCCTATTCCTCAAACATACATTTTTTTAATTTACAGCTTTGTATTGGTTTCCTAGCACCATCCTAACTAAATATCAAAACCAGGATGTCTTAAAACAATAGACATAATTCTACAGGCAACAAGTTCAAAGTCAACATGGCAGTAGTTTTTAACTTCTGATGTACTTTTACTCTTTGAAAGGAGTGACATTTTCTGTTTAAATTCACGCAGCTGTTTAAATCCAAACAACTGTAAAGGAATGATTATCACATACTTACATTTACAGAGAGAGGATGAAGAGAGTTTGAATATATGTACATTAAAAAATACATATGTGTGTATGTATGTGTGTGTAGAAGGAGCTCTGGTGAAGTGGGAGAAAGATGAAGCTTTCTGCTCCCGTAAAGATTTACAGCCTCAGAAACCTTGTAGAGGGTCACTATGAGTCAGAACTGACTCCACAGCACATAATAACAACAACAATGTGTGTGTAGGGTTACTGAGCATTTGAAGCTAGAGTAACATGTCTACCAAGGAGAACAAAGGTTTCAAAAAATGAGAGAAGGCAAACCAAAAATATTGGAGCTCTGAAAACAAGAATTTTGTCTATGGTGCAGTTAAAAACAGGCAGCCCTGCCTCTGCATGCCTTAAACAGCCTTCCCTGAATGTCTTACAATGATTGACTCTATATTTAAAAAAATGTTATCCCAAAGAGACTCTCTGATTAAAGTACAACTTCACGGCTATGACTTCAGCAAATTGCCCACATATAATTATACATTTAATGGCATCTTTCTGGAATCTTTTAAAGCTCAAATTAGATTTTCTCTGCTATATAGGATTAGGATACCTACTTGGAATACAAACAAATTTTAACTTTGTCATGTCAAAACAACAACTACAACCAACATTACCTTGTCAAGTGATTTTCATTTTAATTTTAGGTTATTTAGAACAATGCTCTCACTTAGAACTAAACATTCTGCATTTATTTTATAAAATGCTCAAGTTCATTTGGTTTTAGTTTTAGTTTCGGTGAAACACATACACATAGATGAAATAAAATCATGTAAGCAAGCAATTAAGGAATCTAGAAAAAGAACAAATAAACTAAAAGATAAAAATTCATAAACATCAAAGCACACTTTACTAAAAGCAATCAGAAATGCAATGCTAAGGAATTTATTCACAATGCCAAAAAATTCATTAAAACCTTGCAACTATTTTAGCTAAAAAGATTAAAACCCAGAAGAAGAAAACTATTAGTTATCTAAGACTAGAATTATTTTTAATGTCAGTGGTTTGTTTTATTTGGAGAAGAAGTTTTCTCATAGTACATTAAAATATTTTTATGACTAATAACATTGAAACTTAGTTGTTTTATATTTAGAGCAAATTATAATGAAAA